GAGAGAGAGGAATTGGCTAGATCCGTTCTTTAAATATGTAGGGAAATATTGAACGGTGCACATCCATGGATTGGTTCTCCTCACGCGATATCACTTACATATCGTTAACGGCGTGTAAACGATTGGTTATCGGACCACGAACGATCATCTTGTTAGAAAATTAGTATTACCACTACAATTACTATAATACCTTGTTCCAGATTTTACGCAGGAAGATTCACTGAACGAACTTTGCAAGAAACGAATTACTTCTCTTCAATCTATCATAATTTTATCTACTTCTTGTAAGTCCTAAGAGAATAATAATTTCTGAATAATGAACAAGATAACAAATGAAATAATTAAGTGAATAATGTACGGGATCGATAGTGATGTACGATCGATAGAAATTTCATTGATTTAGTCATCTTGGTTAACGTAATTCGAGTCTGATATTACGAGCTCCGATATAGTTGGGAAATTGTGTGTGTGCGGTTTGCTGTTAGAAGTTTCCGCATTCTGGTGGTTCTCATTATCAAGAATTAAAGATGCAAGGTTTGTTTCAATGAAAAGTAAATGAGATTCGTGCCACGCTTTCTGTGTTAACTACCGTACTATCAAATATAGGTAATACTTACACTTGCCCATGATTTCCTAGTAGCAAATTGTAAAGTTCATGAATTTATCTATCTTTTAAAACTTTCCATCTTCTATAAGTCGATATTCTGTGCATATAATCAGTCAATCTTTCCACGAATATCAACATATTAAAAAATGAAGATTACACGTTATCATAATTCTATATTCTTGAATTACAAAAAATATATGATTTGAGACTGTTTTTTTTTTTTTTTATAAAAATTTCGAGATTGCACTCTATGAATTGTTAAGAATTAAATATCAAAGTGACGAAAAACGATGTTTCCTTGAAAGCAACGAAATGGAGAAAAAATAAAGAGGGGAAAAGAAAGATAATGGAAAAGCTTTTACGAAATCCCAAAGAGAGTCAAATAATTCCGACGATAGTCAGTGGTTTATAGCCGTAATAAAAGCTTGAATGCTCTATACTGTACGATAACCGTGACCAACAGTCCGAATCTTAAACTCGTTTCAACCTGTTCTATCTAAAGATATCTATCCTAAAGGTGCAAATCAAAGGTGTTCGTTGATCGACGATAGTGAGGATAGAATGTAAATGCTCTTTCCATTGTGGTTACATAAAATTTGAAGAAAATCTTGTATTCCTGTCACGTCAGAAAGGACATTCGTGTTAGAGGATTTAACCATTTTAAAGTCGCTTATTTTACTTCTACTTCTCTTTTTTTTCTTTTTTCTTTTTCTTCTCTTTTCCTCCCTTACCCCTTCTCAATCTCTATAAGGATCGATGATTAAGTGCTTCGATATATTGCCGAGTCATTCTACCATTTGAATTTATTTTTCCTCTTGGATACTTAACTTTTCGACGAATCGATTGTTATTGTTGTTTAAGAACAAGTGGGGATGTTCTTTCGTTCTTTTCTCTTTTATTTTTCCTTACACTCCATCTAATTTTTATTTTTTTATTTTTTTCTTTTATTTTTATTTACGTGATCTTACGAGAGATTATTTTATTTTTGCTAAAGTAACGAAGGAATTACGTCTATATTCGCACAAATAGATCACGTCGGATGATTTTCTATCGAATGCTCATTTACTGAAAAGAATTGTTCCTTTCACTTTGCTAGAGAAATTTACGATACGATCTACGATATACATAAATGTAAATTTTAGAAGATATAAGATTCAATAGGACGCGCGGTGACATCTTTCGATCAATACTGGGGTAAAGAAAAGAAAAGAAAAAAAAAAAAAAGAAAGAAAAAGAGAGTTAGAGCGTGCTAGTAGTAGCAGTAGTTATTCAAAAATAGAATCCCAAAAGAATTGAACGTGCTCTTCTCGTTTTAACCCGAAATCTGTAACTATTTTTATATCGATGAAACCTTACATATGTACAGGATGTTCCACGTAAATCTTGGTAACAATTTCTTTCTCTTTAAAAGAATTTTTCAAGTACTTCCGATAATCTGAGAAGGAAGAAAAAAAGAGAACTATTTCAAACAAAAATTATTCGATTTTAAATCGACGACATTTTGCAATGAAACGAATTCCTTCAAAAAAAAAAATATTTCTTTCAACATGATCTCAAGGTCATCTTAACTTTTTAAAAATAATACTACGTATTTTTAACTTCGAAATATTGTAACTCATGTCATCTTCAATTTAAAAATATTGAATCTATCAAAAAAAACATTATCACGAAATTACACCATCAAAATAGTCACGTTCAGTATGGAAAATTTTAATCTTTCGTACATAATAAAATAAAGGAAAATTATTTTGTGTTGCGTTATTTTTATGTTCTTGACGTTATGAATTATAATAAATATTTAATTAATCAATTTTCGTGAAATGTTAACATAATTTTATTTGATGTATGAACTCCTTTATCTTTCTAGTATCCAATAACCAGATAGTAAAAACTCTTCCCGTTTAACTATAAACCGGCGTTACCGTCGTAAGTAGATAGCCTCGTAGAGACTTTTAGTGGACAATAAATGCCACTTTTCTGGAAGTAGATTGCCACTTTTGCCTCAAGGAATCGAGAAACATGATGATGAAAAAAGGACGTTCCTGTTATGTTTCTTAATCTAACACAGATCAAAATATTCCTTATATGATTTCATTTCTTTAATGATACTTGTCTATTTTTTTTTTAAATTAATCGATTCATTCCCTTTATATGTATTCATTTTTGCTCTAGGCTTATTTTTTTCTACATTCATTGAAGATCAATCAAAATTGATAGTTTCCATTCTATGGAATAGATATATTCTATAGAATAAATATGATATATTATTCTATAGATTATATCTATATCTATATTATAGATTGTAGAAGCTACTTGTATAATAAAATTGATAATAAAATTTTCTATCATACTTAATATCTTTTTCTTTATTTCATTGATGACTTTACGATGAATTGGATGTCATTATGGTTGCATTTTATGAGTTGATAAACCATCAATTTTATAATACAAATCAAAATATAATTGGGAGAATGAATGTCTATAGGAAATGTACAAGAAGTTTAAAAATTATAAGAATGATTTGACGTCGTTAGATAGTGCATCCGCAAAGAAATGAACTTATTATTCGATCGTCAGTCTATAGTGAAATTATTATCATTCTCAATCGCATAGTTTCGTTCGTCATCCTTTGTCTCATTTAATAAGAAAATTATTAAAATAATAATATAAATTTGGATTGTTACGTCACTCTCTTGGCAATTATAACAGATAACATCTGATTGCAAACGACCCGGGAAATATACATATCTATCTTCTAGTTCTAAATAGTTTCTAAACCATTTGTAAGTTTGAATATCAATATTATGATTAGAATAAGCATCGTTAGAATCTACAGGTAAGACGAATTTCATCTTCCTAATTCGCTGGATTTTCGAAAAGCATGTGGACCATTTTGATTCTGTTAATTGAAACCCATTTCCTTTTTTTATTTTTCTTCGTACGGTACATTACAGCTGTGTTCTTACTGCGTCATTTTATCGAAAGAAAAATGAAGCAGACATCAAATTCTTGTGAACGATCTTCTATTTTTATACCTGATCATCGTTGGTATATATTTTAGATTCTTGATACGACACTATAGTTATATAATAAAATTGGATTAATCATTATCTTTTTCTTTCGAAAAACTCAATTCCCGGTAAGTGGAGTAATGTTTCATAAAACAATTCTACTTAATACATCTTTAAATATTTAATTGCTATTGGAATATTAAAAAACATCAAAGGTAAAATTTCCATTCATGGTTCTGTTTCGTGACATTTAATATATGCTATTAATCAAGAATTTTTGGACGATTTTATAAGCTGCCAGAGTGTACTTTAAGGTGTCGTTTTAAGATGCATTGTATTTGTTAATAGTTTATGTTTTTTAAATAAATTAGATACGACTCAAATTGTCTGCTTTAATTGGTCATTATTTTCGCAAATGTTCCTAACAATTCAATCCGTGATACAAACTGGGACTGTCTGATTATTACTCGTACGATAATATTTCCACGATTGCCAACTTTACTGATTCTTTGGAAATACGCCTTAAAGGAAGAAATCCTTAAATTCTTCGAGAGTCGTATGATATCCAGTTACATCATTTTCTTAAATTTCTGTCTCATCGTTTTAAACCGATCAGTTGCTAAGTATTAGGGTTAATTATGTATGGTCGGATCAGCTGTTATTTCTATTGTATACGATGAATCATCGAGTGAATCATTCCATACTCATTGATCCGTTGAAAAAGGTTCAGATTAGAAACTCAGCAAGAAATTCGGTGATATCGCGTATCTGCGGACTGCATTGCGGATAGTATTTCTTTTCGTTGAAAATTCTCTTGTAATTTTGTGCGGATTATTTTCTCATATTCACTAACAAACCATATTGCGCCAGGGAATCAGCGCTGATTATAAAGTTGGTTATATCAGTGATTATAAAATTTCACATAAAATCTTCTTATAATTTGAAATCCAATCGTAATGGAATCGTATGAAATGTTGATATGTATAAGCTATGTGCCGCATAGATATATAGTTAATATGTACATTTTGGATGCACTGGACCGCTGCTTTTTATATACACGGACGAATAAATACATAAGTCGATACCAGTTTTGTACTGTCGAAGCTCTATCGGAAATGAAAAAACAGGGAGTCATTTATCGTCGCGGTCAATGACGAATAGTGGCATTTCCCAAGCGGTAATTACACGGTTCCCGGTACTTTTTCGTCCAATTTCCGGACTGTTACCAAACAATGTTATTAATACACATCTGAACTGTAATCATTGCTTCGATCGTTTCATCTTTTTATGTAAATCCTTGATCTCACTGATACGAGGACAAAGAGCTCTTTTAAATAAGGTTTAATAATATTCATAATAAAAGGTTATAATAATATCTTCGGTTTATTCGAACTTGAGAAACCTGCCGGATAGAAGTTTCATGACCAGCTCTCAGATACTTTCGATAGATTGACATCCGATTGCGTATCACGAATTGCTTGCATAAACCTCGATAACCTTGAAATTCACAAAGCTCGTAGAATTCTTTCCGGGACATTGTCGTCATCTACTGAAGATGTCATAGGAATTGTGATGAACATTGATTTTCCATTTCCTCATGTTCCAGTAGTCGACGAATATTCCGGTCTTCCGAGGTAGAGAAACGATGTGTCAGGTCAATCTTTAATTTTTCGACGATTCCCCTCAGTCAGATAATACATTATAAAATCGCTCACCTACCTTCGCATATTTTTAATCTAATTGCGTCACCACGTACCAAAATTTCGTCGCAAATCACGAGTCACTCGATATAAAATAAATTGTCCTTTGAATTGCTGGAACCACATATTTACATCTTTTCAACTTACATCTTTTCGAGTATATAGTTCAAGTATGCTTTTTCAACCATATTACATATTCCACAGATAGAAGTAGGTTCGGTCGTGCTACCACTCGCGGACTAGGACGTGCTTTTTGAATTCCTCGACATTTTTCACAACAGTAAATGAAGTATAGAGAAATTATGCTTTCTTATTTAAAAATCTGTCGAAGTCACCAATTATCGTATGTGCTATAACAGAAATAAAATAGAAAAACAAGAATATAATTATCATAATGAATATATAAGAAATACAAGAAATATAAGAACTATTTGATATCGTCATGTTTTGTCTCATCTAAGAAAAAGATTTTTTTTCGTCTAAGAAAAATTATTTAACGGAGCGTTGTTTCTAAATTTGGACTACTATAATTTCACTCTCATGTACTTTCATGTTATGTCTCCTCTAATAAAAAAAGAAAATTCTTTAAGGCAGCGTTTCTAAATTCGAACTGTTACAATTTCATAATTATGTACTTATCCTAACATTGTCTAACAATTATACTTATACTAATTAATATTGCTAACCAATACTATTAATTAATAATAATAATTAATACTACTATTAATACTGTTAATTAATTAAAAACATTAACACTGCCAATTATTAACACTAATTAACACCGCTAATTAAAAATGCTTATTAATAGTTCAAATTAATACTGCTATTACTATAATTACTACTATTACTATTCCTACTATCACTACTACTATCAGACTAGCTCGCATCCATAATTAATTATTTATCGTGATATTCGTAAAAGAGAAATAAAAATAATTCGAAGATCATTTTCTTAGTTTATTTCGAATGTCAGGCTAAGTAATATTTAGAAAGAGCTGCAAAATTAGTAAAAGCTAAAAGCGTTAATTCAACGCTAAATGCGAAATGATGCTCGTAGATAGATAAAACAAAATAGAGATAAAAAGAGATAAGGAGGAAAGCAAAGAGAAAGAGAGAGAGAGAGAGAGAGAGAGAGAGAGAGAGAGAGAGAGACAGACAGACAGACAGAGGGATAGGAAGCAAACTTCGATGAATGGCCAGGGAAGCGAACTGTCAAAGAGAATACTATCCGTAATTACGAGAAATGGTTAAAATAGCAACGAGAAGAGATAACAATTTCAAAACGTTTCACCGAACTCGATCATCTCTCGTTTCTTTCTCTCTCTCTCTCTCTCTCTCTCCTCTTTTTCTCTCTCGTTTCGAGTGTATCACATTATTCTTTACTTTATTTTTATTTATTCATTTATTTATTTATTTATTCATTTAACAGAAATAATTTATTCGAATGATCTTAATTTGATCGATACATGGATGAATACTTTCGTAATGGATTACGCTGCAAGAGAATGAACAACATTATCGCGATCATTAACCGATCATTTATATCTTCGATATCGAAAAGCCGAGAAATTTTCTTAATTATTTTTCGAATATCATAAGATCTTTGTAATGTAGATATTTAGAAGTTTCACAGGATTCTCGTAAAGTCGAAAGACTTATTCTAACATTTTGTTAACTCGAAAATAAATAAGCTTAAAACGAACGAACGAAGCAAATGTTTTACTAAAGTACTCTCATTATTCTTCCTTTTCCTTTTTTTTTTTTTCTAGGGATCTTCAGCTAAATTAATTTATCATGACGTGCGATAACAATGAGTCATCACATCTTGCGGTTTATGTGCGCAGAAGGAAGGAAAAGGTCGAAGGTACATTAGGGAGAGATCGTTTCGTTATATGTAATTGAACGGTAGGTAATCCTCGAGGTCATTAAGTGGATAATGGTGACTTTGGTTCATTATCCATGATCTCTCTCTCTCTCTCTCTCTCTCTCTCTCTCTCATTCTTTCACAAAGCCAAAGAGACAGAAAGGGAGAGGACAATGGTGAAAAAATTAAAACGTTTTTATATATTTCTACTAATACAATTCAACGTTTCATATTCTTCGTTTATTATTAGCACTTCCATATCCTAGGACTGCTGAATTTGCTGTTTGAATTCATGATGATGTAAGTAATCCAAATTTTCCGAAAAAAAAATTTTTTTAAATTAAAGAAACAATTTAGTTCAGATATTTTTACATTTGATGAAAATATTATAAATGTTGACGTACACTGGATAATTCACAATATTTTCTTCTAAAGGTTATATATTACTATCGAGAATATTTATTCTTGAGAATTTGTTGAACATTTGTTAACAAAATCCATGGATAAAAGACAGATTATCTAGTAGCTTAGGCATTTTTAGTCTAACCCGTTGTTTTCGGAAATGTGTTGAGCCGGGCAATAAATAAACAGAGAAAATAAACTCCTGGATAAAACGAGCCATTTGTTGGCACCTACCCTTAGACATTTCAAGCTTAAAGCAGTAAGATAACTGAGTCTTATTGGCAACACTGATTCTATCTCACTCGATGGTAACCAATATAACTAACGATACATAATAACGAAACACGAATATTGCAGTCTTTGTGTCTAAATACTTCAAATTATAAGTATAAATTTACAAAGTACCTTTTATCACGCATCTTCTTCACGAGCTCTCCAGGATCCATGAAAGAAATTGCATTTTCCCGTTAACTTGTGGGAACCCAGTGAACGGTATTTTGCTGAAAATAATCGACCAATTTCAAGCCATGTATACAATACAACGATAGGTGGATAGCGTGATAACGAAATGCGTTAAATTTTTGATCATATTTTTCATAGAAATTGAATTTGATATATTTGACATGCAAAGTGTTAAAAGTTCTACATTAATCGCTATTTATTTTCTATTAATCTAAATAATAATAATAAATTAAAACTATTTGGATTCAGTTAAATCTACTAAATAGATCTGTATTTGTAGGAGGCAACACGTTTCTATTATAATCCTAATATCTTGACTCGTGTGTCTCTGACACATGTTAAATGCATGACACGTATAACGTTTTTAAGTGACAGTCAAATATTACATGGCAATTAGTGATGCATCATCTAGTACGTGGTCGCATGCATAATTGCGACCTGTTCATCCTGTAACATAATTATAATACACCGCATCTCTGTGGTCGAGTGTATAATTACGATTGTAAAATAAATCTACCGTAAGAATTTATTAATCGTGAATGTGCGCTCTCCATTTATACCAGGGTCCATGATAAATCCTATTGTTTTATTATTATTGAATCTATTTAATAGATAATACAAACTTTTGCATTATCAACGGATAATAATATCCTACTCCATCGTCGTTTTAATTTTAAATATTTAAAAATAAAAAAGGATTTAGATCTTGTTAGGTCGAATTATTCATCGAAAAAGTGAGAAAAGAAAATTCTGCTGAAGTTATGAGGACTTTTAAATCTTAACAATTAGGTCAGAATAGAGACTCTCAAGGAACAATGATATTCGATCTGGACAATTTAATTGGCGCCGGTTTTCGCAACACTCTGGGAGTCCAAAATGAGAGGATGAGTGCCAACCTCTCGACATTCGAAATGAAGTATTAAGAAGCACACGATAGGGATTGGCTTTTAGTTCTGCCAACAAGAGGATGAAACGTAGAAGATGCGAGAGAAACAGGGAAGGTTGAAGAAGAAGGGGAATTGGCTAAAGGCGAATTTTGGTTCCATTCACATTTGGCCAAGGAAACTGAGGGAGAAGATGGGCAATTGAATATTCCACGAAAAGAGAGAGGAGAGAGGAAAATGCAGGAATAGAAACTTCCCTACGATTGTTCCGAGTCCGTGCTCCATATTCACTCTTCTTCTTCGTCATCTGCATATCGAGATTTCCGTTTTGATATCGTCATCGTTTCTCTACCTTCTTCTTCTTTTTTCTTTTTTCCCACCCTCTGTCCCTTCCTACCCCCCCCCCCCCCCGCCCTCACCCATTTCATCTTCGAATCTCTTAAAACTCATGCAAGAAAAATTGAAGAAGGGCGGGGGGAAGGAAAGATAGTATTTAAGAGTACTCTGCGCCTATCGTGAATTCCGAATAAGAATTTAAATTAGACCCGTTCATTTATTCAAGAACAACGACGGTCACTATCTTTAACGAGTCTGACTTATCACAATTTCATTCTGACATTTATTGTACCATGAATATTTTCTTTTTCAGGATCTCTCTTCTTTCTTTCTTTTTTCAATTTTTTTTTCTTTTTTTTTCTTTTTTTTTCTTTTTTTTTTAACGTAGGATTTCTTTATATTTCATAGATAATAAAAAATGTTGATATTATAAAAACGTAGAACCATTGATTCACACATTTCAATTCGATCTCAGTTCAGTATCTGTTCAGTCAATTTAGTCATAGTTCAGTTTAATTCATTTATATTCACATACATCAGTTCAATCTACTACCAGTCAGATAGTACAGATTCTATTCTGTAGACTTTGAGAGGGTTAAAAGTAGGATTGGGCGGAGCGATCGAAAATCATTTGTCCACAGACAAAAGACTGCAAGGTAAAAAAAGGTCAATTCTTCACACATTTCGGTTCAGTTCGTCTATGATACGGATACAGAGGCAAGAGGTTATTTTCATCCTCATCTCCCACCCTTTAACGTTTTTTGTATTAGGTTTGGACATACTATATTCTTTTCTTTTTCTTTTTTTTGGCTTCTTGCCGAAACATCTTATTATTTTATTCATAGATAGAAATGTTATTAGAATTCCATTAAGCATTTAAAAAAAAAAAATATTGTGAGAACAATATACTTCGGAAAGCCATTTTTTAAAGTTTTTTGTATTATAGACAACGGAGTTTTATTTAGCGAAGATCTTTTGTCTATTTTATATTACTTTTCTCTCTCACGCACAAACATTGGAGACTTTAAAAATATTTCTTGATATGTATTTTTCGCAAACATAATTGTCAACAAAGTAAGATATAATGGTTCTGTTCGCTACGCGATATTAAACGATTAATTAATAATTACTTTGAGGGAATCTATCGGAAATTTGCGGTATCACGCCTGCAGGGAGTGTCTTATGGCATCACCAACGCGAAAAACATTGCCTCGTTATAACTTTCGATAGAAATTAAATTTTAATTCTATTTAAAGTTGAGCACTTGAAATCGTGACACTTGTTTTAAATGTATGCGTGTATTAATTTTGTTTTTACTATAGCGAAAAATTAATTAGTTTAAATATTATATATCAAAATTAAACATACTGTTTGACTCTATGGATATTAATACCTTAAATTTTAGATTAATCATTTGAAAAATTTCAAAGTAACATGCATTTAATTATAAACACATTTGTGTTAAGAATTAATGAAATAACCGATTTGATTTAATCGCAAATTTTACAAATATCCTTTGTGGAACATTAAAATGTATTGTTTAAAATTTTCGAACAAATTAAAAAATTAATTTCCATACTGCGAAAATTTCATTATAAAAACTTTTATATTTAAAAATAAAAAAATGAATCGATTACATTAAAATTTTACATATAAATTCTATGAAAGTGTTTTCTGTAAAGTTTCAAATAATTTATTTAATTAATATCGGAAATATAATACGATTATATTTCTTCGATTCTATAGATCTTATCATCATAGTATATGTAATATTTTATTTATTCTATAGTTTTAATCATGTTAAATCGTATTTCGATATCAGGTTATTTTTTATATTTTCTTCTACCTCTATTTTCCTTTTGCTGACGTAGAATAAAAACGAAAAGGTAGCTATTTATTTCAACAACAAAAAGAACCAACAAGATTAATACGACCATGATTTTCAGTTCAATTGCTGAATTTGCAGAGAAATCCAGCAAAAAGTTTTTTGTATAAATTTTTGACTTATTTTGAAAACCTACGTGATGTTGAGGTTTAGTGTGTACAAAAAAAAATGGAGATATTAATTAAACCTGTCGCAATATGATATATTTTCATACGACAATGCATAGGACATTTTGTTCTCTTTTTCCGTCTGGTTACGCAATACGAGGATTAATTTACAAATTAAAAACGAGTTAGAATTTTGTCTCGTAAATATTTTACAGGATGATATTAAAATTGTGAATTATAGGCATACAACGTAATGATACGAGAGAACGACGAAGATTACAGCGTGTCAAAGTTACCAAGACAATAGCCAGCCAATTACAAAGGGTTGCGGAGTTATTTCATTTTCTGTTTCAGCACGCAAAGAGGTCACTAATCCTTCGGGAGGGATTTGCATTTTTGGGCTATGCCGATAGAACTCCGAAGCTTTTACGTTACCCTTAGTAAAACTAATTTACCATTTAATTCGATTGCAATCGTGCGAAACGGCCGACTACTTTTTATTACATCTGTATCGAGGTAAACAAAATTTTCGTTCCCATTTTCGTTTTCAATTAAACGATAAAACAATAGAAATGAACGGTAAATTTGTCAAGTCCGACACGCGTTACGTTACGAGTAAAATTTTCGATCTCGATATGTAAGCATTGTAAACGTACGAACAGTAAATTAGCAACCTTAATAAGCTACATAGTTTGAGAGCTGCTCTATAGTTGAAGTTTAATCGAGTCTGAACGGAGTAATTAATAATGAAGGGTGTACGATTACTTTCCTACGAATGATGTGATATATCATGAACGTGTACAACAAGATAATATTTAATTAGCAAGAAAGCTCGATCGACCATTAGGATAGTCTGTATCTAGCTAGTTTTCCCGAGAAAATCCAAAATATATCGTCGTGAACGTGGATAAAGAAATTAATATAATAATAATTTTTATCTCATTAAATTTCCGAAATATCCCACATCTCCGCTCTTTTTCCTCTCGAATTATCAAATTAATACGATTCATAAGAGAGGAAAATTAAAGATCATTTTCGATGAAAAGTTTTTCGGGAAAATTTATTGGTCTAACTTTTCGGACAGTAGTCCTCGAATCTTATACGATTTCAAGTACTTCTAATAAAATTCCTTGGATTGAAACAAAGTTAAGAATATGTTCGAATAAACTATGAATATATCTAAAGAGATTTCTTAACTAATTAATGAGATTCGTATTGAGTTAATTTGACATTATAAATACGAATTAATCGATCTCTCGATAAAATTTAGCCATGATAGAACAATAATGAGATTCAAGGATCTATTTAATTTCGCAAAAAATTGATTAATGGAAAAGGAAAAGATGATAATGAAAGATAGAAAATCAATAGGAAATCTCAGTGAAATTCTTAAAAGAAAGTAAAATGACGTAAACGTACACCTGTTATGTGGCTTTAATCCATTCAAGGGAAGATGACAAGACAAGTGCAATAGAAACAACGAAGCAAAAGCTTCGGTTCTGACCTAGGAGTGACCTAAGGCCAAGCCTAGTTTCCATGACGATAACAAGCCTCACCTGAAAGATAATTTTGCGATATATCGCCTTGAACAAGAGATACATCGATCTTTGACCCAAAGGAAAACTAAAAGGATAAGGGATGGAAAGAAAGTGTTTAATCCCTTCTGATTTTACGTTTGAATGATGAGCGTTCGACCATTCATGATTTTCACTTCCATAATGGCATAACCCGTATGCAGAAACAAATCTCCATGAAAGCCGAAACAAGAATGAAGGATTATCTGGAGACTAATAAAGCGTTATCTTGTAATACAGTTTAGATTTATT